AGGGGGGCTGGGGTCTCAACACAGTCATTTGCTGAGCTCTCTCACAATTTGAGACCAGCTTTCTCAGGGCAGAGAGGTGCAAGGTTGCGGTTTGTCCAAAACCCTCTGTCCTCTTGTAGACAGGCTCTGACCCTCACAAGAAACATTCAGCTGTTAAAGGCACAGGGACACACAGCTCACAGGCAGCTGGTGCCAGTGCTGCCAGGCAGGCCATGGCTGGGAAGAGGATGTAGGAAGCACCTATGTGGCAGGGTACTAACTGCTCACCTCTGCACTGTCAGGTGTGACCTGCTGGACTGACTCCAGGTGCTGTCCCAGGCCTTCGTTCTGAGCACCATTTGCTCTGTCACACTGTCCTATTCGCTCCTTGTGAGGGATAGGTGATAGGCAGCTATTGGGCAGCAGGTACTGGGCAGGCCTTCCCTCTCCAGGCTTTTTTCCCTGTCCTTCCTTTGCTCCCTCTTAACCATCATCCTCTGGTCTGCATTCCATGCAGGATTAAAGCGAACACTGTGAAGGAGATTGAGCCAGCCTCTGCTCTGCCAGTCACCAGCCATGGAGCATCTGAAGGGGTCAACCATGCTTCTGCTCGAGCTGCTCATTTTCGGGGGCCTGAGAGCAGGGATGGGCTCTGCTGTCCTGGGCACCCTGGATCTACAGATAGATGAGGAGCAACCAGCTGGCACCATCATTGGGGACATCAGTGCTGGCCTACCCCCTGGAACTAGTGCCTACATGTACTTCATCTCAGCACAGGAGGGTAGTGGCGTCTCCACTGACTTGGGGATAGACGAGAACACTGGGATCATCAAAACAGCTCGTGTCCTGGACCGGGAGACTCGGGACCGCTATAGCTTCATCGCTGTCACCCCGGAGGGCATCACGGTAGAAGTGAACATCCAAGTGAATGACATCAATGACCATGCTCCAGCCTTTCCCAAACAGCACAGCACCTTCCAGATCCCAGAGCACACACCCATTGGCAGCAGGTTTCCCTTGGAACCAGCCTTTGATGCTGACAGTGGCCTCCTGAACACGCAAGGTTATGTGGTAAAGGGAGGGAATGTGGGGCAGGCCTTCCGCCTGGAAACACGTCGAGGACCCAATGGGGTCCTGTACCTGGACCTGGTGGTCAGCAACGTTCTGGATCGGGAGAACCGTTCATCATACTCGCTGCTGTTGGAAGCCTACGATGGAGGTTTTCCGCCCCGGAGCACCCAGATGACTCTGGATGTGTCCATTCAGGACATCAATGATAATGCTCCCAGCTTCAATCAGAGCCGCTATCATACACTCATCTCAGAGAACCTGAAACCTGGCAGCAGCATCCTGCAGGTCTTTGCCTCTGATGCAGACGAAGGTGACAATGGGGATGTGATTTATGAGATCAACCGACGGCAGAGCGATCCTGACCAGTACTTCACTATTGATGCCCGGACTGGAGTTATCAAGCTCAACAAGGGTCTGGACTATGAACTGAGGAAGGTGCATGAGCTGGTGGTGCAGGCAAGGGATAAGGCTGTCCATCCTGAGGTCACCACAGCCTTTGTCACTATCCATGTGCGTGACTACAATGACAACCAGCCCACCATGACTATCATCTTCCTGAGTGAGGATGGCTCCCCGCAGATCTCTGAGGGAGCCCAGCCTGGACAGTACGTGGCACGCATCTCTGTGTCGGACCCAGACTATGGAGAGTACTCCAATGTGAATGTTACACTGGAAGGTGGGGATGGCAAGTTTGCCCTCACTACCAAGGACAACATCATCTACCTGATCTGTGTGGACCAGCTTCTGGATCGTGAAGAAAGAGATTCCTATGATCTGCGGGTGACAGCTACTGACTCAGGAACACCCCCACTCCGTGCAGAATCGGCCTTTGTGCTGCAGGTGATGGATGTCAATGACAACCCCCCACTCTTCGACCAGCAGGAGTACAAGCAGAGCATCCCGGAGGTGGTGTACCCTGGCAGCTTTGTCCTGCAGGTGACGGCTCGTGACAAGGACCAGGGTCCCAACGGGGAGGTGCGGTACAGTATCGTGCATGGCCGTGACACCCACTCCAGCTGGTTTGCCATAGACCCTGCCACTGGCATCATCACCACCACTGCCCCACTGGATTACGAGAAGGACCCTCAGCCTCAGCTGACCGTGCTGGCCACAGACCGAGGAACCCCTGCCCTCTCCTCCTCAGCTGTGGTGCGTGTGGCCTTGCAGGATGTCAATGACAATGAGCCAGTATTCAGGAGTAACTTCTACAATGTGTCCCTGAAGGAGAACACCCCTGTTGGGACCTGCTTCTTGCAGGTAGGTAAAGGTGTTGAGAGGTGAGTTTGGGGAGAGCACAGCCAGGGCTGTGAGCAGCTTGAAGTGGGAGACCTGCTGCTGTAGGGTGTTGAGTGCAGGTGT